AAAGCCAAGTTGGTATCCTCTCAGCTTACTTGTCATTAGCCATAACTCTTTGGTACCATTGTAACTAGTTTAAATCAATTATGTTGCCCTAAAAGAGTGGAACAAATGTACATTTGGGTGAGAAAATATGAAGAGAAGTGAAAGTTCTGACCATGGGGTGTACAGTTCTGGGTAACTCTATTATCTCTCTGAGGTTGGAGTATAGAGGACAGTATGAGGGCAAAGAAAGAAAGAAGGAGTTACCTTACTGGTCTAGAAGACGAACTTGGGTTGTGCCAAAACTTTTCTGAAGATCAGTGCTTATTTTGAAATGCTTCAGCAGAAGTGTAGTTATTTATTGAAATGATTCTCTCGTGTATGTGGACTCTCTGTAACAGGTGTTGTAAGTTGGAGGTTGGAAAGCATTTGATGGAAAGAGAGTAGTCAGTCAACCAGCCTTATACAGGGAGTCATGCTTCTATGTAGAATGTTTTTCAATTCAATATGACTCAGCAATCATTTGTGGAATAAATATCCCAACAGACTTTGAAGGGATATTTATTGTCATGGTGGTGAAAGCCATCTCTAAGAAAATCAGAGTATATTAGCATCGTGTGTTAAGTTAGAAGAATCATTTTGAACTCATAATCTCAAAAGGAATACCTTTTCCAGCTCTACCATCTCCAAATGGGGGGGGAGAAATAGTCCGTAGGCCCCTATTTATTCTCAGATGCTCCCCTGAAGTCCCAGTGTTGGACCCCAGGAAGAGCCAGGCCTTTCCTTAGGGGAAATGATTCTATGTCTTGGCACAGGAAAGCTCAAGAATATTCTATAGTTTTTAAAAATTTACCTTCAAGGGTAAAGGGAAAAGGAATCAGCTTATTGGACAAAATTATAATAATCTGAGCATCAGAAAAATACTTGTTGGAAGCAACTTGGATTTACAAAAAGCCGAGAGTTCAGAATTGTACTCAAAACATAGATTGATATAATAACCCCCCTAAAACTTACTCATATTCCAAAAATAAGAGTAAATATAGTAGGGCTTGTGTAAATTGTAGTTTATTTTAGCAATCAGGAGTGTGTTGATAAATATGTATGTTGTTTCATCTATTTTTTATCTCTTCTTACAGTGTAGAGATGAGAAGAGTTAAAAATGTTTTCTGAAGGGGCCTGCATTGTGGTACACTGTGTAAAGCCACTGCCAGAAATGCCAGCATCCCGTATGAGCACTGGTTAGGGTCCTGGCTGCTCTACTTCCAATCCAGCTCCCTGCTAATGACCTGGGAAAGCAGAAGATGGCCCAAGTCTGTGGGCCCCTGCCACTCACGTAGGAGACTTAGATGGAGTTCCTGGCTCCTGGCTTTGCCTTGTCCTGGTCCCATTTAGGAAGCAGACCAGTGGATGGAAGATAACTCCCTCTCCCTCTCCCTCTCACTCTGTAACTGCCTTTCAAGTGAATAAATAAATCTTCAAAATGTTTTCCCAAATAGTACTGGAAAAATAATAGAAACTACTAAGAAGAGGAATAAGCGGTCAGTAACCACAGGCTCACAATATGGAAAGTGGGGCTCAGCATGTACTGGCACAATGACTGTGCACAGTAGCTAGGTTGAGAGAGAGAGATTGGAAGCATGTGGCAAGGTTTTCAATGGACTAGCTCTCTTGAGGAGGAGAGGTAACTGCACAGACTCAATCTCTCATCTCCCAGGAAATGTAACCTCTGGGTGGATTTACTAATCCTAATAATATAGTAATGAGGAATATAAGATCTTCTAATAGCACAAACAGGCCAGGTCATTTAGTATAATTAGAAGACAAAGATTCATGCTGACCAAGTGAAAGTTAGAGAATGTAGCACATTATTCAAAGAGATGCTAAAACCTGTGTGAAAAGTGTGATCTTAGCATATTATTGACATAAGAAGGATTTTTGGTCTGATGTGGGATTTGGTTAAAATAGCTGTATCAGAGTCTATGTCAGATCAACCAACCAACCAACCATCAAACGACATGAAACAAAACAACAATGGACCAATAACACAGACATTGAGAACTCAATTGACTAGTCAGATTTTGTTTTGGAATAGGAAGTGAATATGATAGGATTATTTACTGCAACCCTAGGAAGATATAGAATTTAAATTGTTATTAGCACTAAACATAGTTTCAGTTTAAGCTTAGTAAGTTTTTTAATCATTATGATATTTTGCAAGAGTTTTGTCTGCTTCATACAGGATCTTTAAAGCATTTATGAGAGTATGACATATTAGATTTATAATTCTAATTAAATATTTAGGAGAGTTTGAGTAAAAAGTTTATATTCAGTGTTTGAATGTTTTTAGAAAGTCTAATTTGTTAAATCAGGCATTGATTTATTATTTGCATAACTAAACTGCAAATTTTGAAGCTGATTGATTCCTTAATACCTAAAGCAATGTTAATTATTTTATAAATTTATAAATGTTATATATTGGGCTTGTAACAATAGTCATAGTGGAAGTTCTTCTCCATGAGCAAAACCATGAAAGAACCTATTTCTCATGACACTATGGGACGTAGTTACTGCTCTCAGGTTTCTCTCAAATTTATTATTAGTCATGAGAGTAGTCTCCAAGTAACAGAGTTCAAGGCTTGAATCACGCATGGTAGACACTCATAGGAGGCAAAATTGTGCCACACATGAATTTAGATAACTACATTTGTCACTGTGTTCATCCATGAACTCTTTACTTTTTAAAGACATTTCTCAAAACAGATTTATTTAGTTATTTGAAAGGCAGAGTTATAAAGGGAGAAAAAGGGTGAGAGAGAGAGAGAGAGACATCTAGTTTACTAGAGGGATCCATTAGTTCACTCCCTAAGTGGCTACAACAGCCAGAGCTGAGCTGGAGCCAGAAGCTTCTTCTGGGTCTCCCACATGGGTATAGGGGCCAAGGACTTGGGCCATCCTCTGCTGCTTCCCAGGTATGTTAGCAGGGGGCTGGCTTGGAAGTGGAGCAGCTGGGACTCCAACCAGTGTCCATACAGGTGGTGGTGGCTTGACCTGCTATGCCACAATGCTGGCCCCTTGAAAGACTTTTTTTTTTTTTTTAAAGATTCATTTATTTGAAAGAGTGAAAGAGAGAGAGAGAAAGAGAAAGACAGACAGACAGAGAGATCTTCCATTTGCTGGTTTACTCCCCAAAGGCCTGCAGCAGCCTGGGAAGGGCCAGGCCAAAGTCAGAAACCTGGAATTCCATCTGGATCTCCAGTGCGGGTGATAGGGGTACAATTACTTGGACCATCACCCACTGCCTTTCCAGGTACATTAGCAGGAAGCTGAATTAGAAGTGGAATAGTTGGCACTCAAATTAGGTACTTTGATATGGGATAGGAATGTCCCAAGCAGTAACTTAACCACTGTATCACAACACCTGCCTCCAATGAGTTCTTTAAAAAATTTATTTGAGGGTTGGCATTGTGGCATAGCAGGTTAAACCTCTGCCTGCAATGCTTGTGTCCCAAATGGGTGTCAGTTTGAGTCCCGGCTGCTCCACTTCTGATCCAGCTCCCTAATGGGTCTGGGAAAGCAGCAGCAGATGGCCCAGGTTCTTGGACTCCTGTACCCATGTGGAAGATCCAGAAGAAGCTCCTGGCTCCTGGCTTTGGCTTGGCCCAGGCCTGGCCATTGTGGCCATTTGGGGAGTAAACCAGCGGATGGAAGATCTCTGTCTCTCTCTCTCTGTCTCTCCTCCTCTGTAACTGGGTTCTTCCTTTCAAATAAAATTAATTAATTTGACAGCAAATTTGAAAAGGCTTGACTTAGGGCTGGTGCTGTGGCATAGCGGGTGAAGCTGCTGCCAGCATCCCATATAGGCACCAGTTCAAGTCCCGGCTGCTCCACTTCTGATCCAGCTCCCTGCTAATTTGCCTGGGAAAGCAGCAGAAGATGGCCCAAGTGCTTGGGCCTCTGCACTCACGTGGGAGACCTGGCTCCTGACTTTGGACAAGCCCAGCTCCATTGCGGCCATTTGGGAAGTGAACAAGCAGATGTAAGGTTTCTCTCTCTTTTTCTGCCTCTCCCTCTCCCTTTATGTAACTCTGCCTTTCAAATAAATAACTCCTTCTTTAAAAAAGGTTTGTCTTTAAATAAAAAGAGAGTCAGAGATCGAGTTCCCATCCACTGGTATATCCCTTCCACACCCTCCCCACCCACCCAAGATGTCTGCAGTGGCTGGACTTGGGTCCGGGGCTGGAGCCAGGAGCCAAGAATGTGTTACATGTCTTCCATGAGGGTTGTAAGAACCCAGTTACTTGAGCTGTCACTGCTGTCTGCATTGATGGGAAGCTGGAGTCAGGAGTTGGAACGAGGAATGGAACCCAGGCACTCCAGTCCACATGCCAGTGTCCATGTGCCAGTGATTCCAGTACATAAATGAAGAACTTGACGGAAATCCTCCATAGTTAGCAGGGTTATCTTTGGAAAGAAAGGTGTGTTTGGAGGTGAGGGGCAAGAAGGCCCATGTTCCATTTTACACTACTGTCCCTGACTTAGGATGTTTGGACTTAATGATTTTTTTTTTGTCTTTACAGTAGTGTGAAAATGTTACACAGTTGGCTGGCGCCGGGACTCAATAGGCTAATTCTCCACCTTCCGGTGCCAGCACTCCAGGTTCTAGTCCCAGTCGGGGTGCCGGATTCTGTCCAGGTTGCCCCTCTTCCAGGCCAGCTCTCTGCTGTGGCCCTGGAGTGCAGTGGAGGATGGCCCAAGTGCTTGGGCCCTGCACCCGCATGGGAGACCAGGAGAAGCACCTGGCTCCTGTCTTTGGATCAGTGCGGTGTGCCAGCCGCAGTGCGCAGGCTGCAGCGGCCATTGGAGGGTGAACCAACGGTAAAGGAAGATCTTTCTCTTTGTCTCTCTCTCTCACTGTCCACTCTGCCTGTCAAAAATAAAAAAAAAATAATAATAAAAAAAGAAAATGTTACACAGTCAGTAGCAACTATAACTCAACTTCTAAATTTTAACCTTTTTCCAGGCTGGTGACATACAATACGATCCTCTCTTGCAAGGCCAGCAGTGGCAAAGAGCTGCAGTTCCAAATCAGCCATGTGACTTCCAGGGCGACCAGCTGGTACCCTAAGGTATGCCATGATGCGGAGTTCCATTATTCTGTCTGGGAGGTGTAGTAAATGCATTCCACTTACAATATTTTCAGCTTATGATTTGTTGGGATATAGCTTCATCATGGATCAAGAGGCATCTCTGTATACACCCATATATCCATCTGTATGTATCCATATCTGTATCTGTGTCGATATTTGTGTTTATACCTGTGTCAATGTTATTATCGATGTTGATTCCTGTATTTGCATTGTTTTGGTCTCTAAGTTCATATAGTGGTCATCTAATACAAATTATGTTTTCTTAGAAAAAATAAAGAAAACTTTTCTAGAGCTATGGCGTGTCAGCCCGGTCTTGGTTCTATTAAAAAATAGTCACTCTTGGTGGAATGAAAGGGAAAGCAAGAAAGAATAAATGGCTGCTCCTTGGCCCTGGTTTCTTCCCTCATCTCCTACTTTTCCAATATGCCATGCAGAGGGAGGGAGTGTCTGGCTGTGCCTGTGTGTGCCTGCCCAACCTTTTCCCAACTTCTGGAGTCAAAATAGATCTAAGTAGATGGTGTTAATGTGAAATGTTTACTCCAAGGTCTGGCTTTCTGGTGCTGGGGGCTGTCTCCAGTGCTGCCTGGTGTGCTTTGCTCCCCTGGGGGGAATAGCACGCTGTCTAAGGCTCTGCTTTGTACTCGCTCAGAGTGGAGAGCTCCTCATGCTGGGGCCTGGACCACAGACCATGAACCCAAAGCCTGTACTTGGTTTACCGAATGAAATAATTCTGCCAAAGGAATCTGTTGGGGTTGGTGGCCTTATTTCCCAGGGGGAAAAAGATGAATAGTCGGCTTTGAGCCCTTGCAGTGCTCGGCATTGGCTTATGCTGATTAAAAGTTGGTGCTGGCATGGCACTGGCACCTTCTGGGGACATGAATCACAGCTCCCACACAGGCAGGTTGTTGAACAGAGAAGCCAGAAATGTACTGACCACCAGCACCTTGCAGCTGTCCCCCCATGTTTTCCACTGGCTATTCATTTATCCATCAAATAGTTGTCAGCTTTCTGGACTCTGGTCTGTGCATGGAATTCATCACCAGGCACATAAAAGCTCACAGTTTCTGTGATTTTCCCACACTGCCCTCTCCTTTGCAGCTTCCCACTCATGGTCCCTGGCTTGCTTTCCTCCTGCTTCCTTGGCCCTGCACCGTTGCTCCCCCTAGTGACTGTCCTGGGACTCAGTTGCTTTGAGGCACTGCCTCAACCACAGTTCACCTGCCCCATCTCACAGCTCTGTCTACAGATTGTGATGCGTCTGGTTGCTTGGCTTGGTCGTGTCCCACAGAAACAAAATGGAGCTGGCCAGCTGATTAGGATTTTCCAGACAACAGAAGGGAGCTAAGGAGTTCGCTGGGGCCTGGGTTAAGGGTGGGAGGAGGTAGGACTTCAAAGATTCATTCATTTATTCATGACAGAAAAATGTAAAAATAAATACAGATTTAGTTAGATGAGAAGTACTTTGAAAAGAAATGAAGTACATAAGGGGGGAAAAGGATATTGAGGTAGGAGTATGGACAGAAATCGAAAGAAGGAGGAGTTCAGAGGAGGAATCCAAAGGCATCAGTTGGGGGAGCATTGGCACAGGGAGTTAGGCTGCTGCTTAGAGCACCAGCATCTCAGTATTGGAGTGCCGCTTCCAGGCCCAGCTACTCTGCTTCCAGTCCAGCTCCCTGCTAATGCACCTGAGAAGGCAGTGGAAGATGACCTAAATGCTTGGGGCTCTGCCACCCACATGGGAGACCCAGATGGAGTTTCTGGCTCCTGGTTTGGGTCTGGCCCAGTGCTGGCTGTTGTGGCCATTTGGGAAATGAGCCAGCAGATGGAGCGGCTCTCTGTCTCTGTCCGTCTACCTCCTAAATAAATAAATAACTAGATCTTTTTTTAAAAGGGCATCAGGTTGCAAGTCAGCCTTGTGGATTGCTTGGGGGAAAGATATCCTAGAGAAAGAGAGGAAAGAGCGAAGTCTGCAGGAGAGACCGTGCCTGGAATGTTGCAGAGGAGTGAAAAGGCCAGGACAAGCTGTGAGGAGAGCCGAGGCATATGCCCTGCCATTCATGCGTGGCCACAGTGTGTGCTGTCCTCGTACGAGGTCCTCTCTGAGGACTGCAGCTCTCACTGCCAGCAGGCCGAGGAAGACTTCCTGCTGGTGGAAATATCTCATGCACGAAGGTGGGCGCCTTCTGAGTGCAGCACAGGTGGATCATGTCATTCAGAGACTTTTGAACAGGTGTCATGTGAGGCTGACAGGGAACAGCCAAGGCTGCCCAGGGGAGTTGGGGAAGAGTTGAGGCTAAAAGTGTGAGAAGTTTTCCAGGCAGAGAGACAAGCGTGTGGCCTCATGACATGTGCAGAGAATGCAGAATGACGTGCTTTGGCTCAAGGCAGCAGTGTAAGGGTGGAGAGGCAGGAGGCGGGCAAAGAGGGGAATGGTGAAGCAGCAGATTAGAGGGGGCTTATGTGATGCAGTAATGTGGTCAGATTTAATCTGGCAGGCATGGAAACAATGGATGGTTTTCAAATCGGGAAGTATGACTCACTCATTGTACAAATGAAAATGATTGTCACTCTTATGCCACATCATCTAACAGTGGGTGGGTTCTGGATCTAGACGAACTGTGTTACTTCTTACATAATCTTTTTTTAAAGATTTATTTATTATTTGAAAATCAGAGTTAAACAGAGGAGAGACAGGGGTGTGAGAAAGATCTTCCATCCACTGGTTCACTCCCCAAATGGCCTCAATGGCCAGAGCTGGGCCAGACCAATGCCAGGAGCCAGGAGCTTCATCCAGGTCTCCCATGTGGGTACACTTGGGCCATCCTCTCCTGATTTCCCAGCCCCACATTAGCAGGGAGCTGTATTGGAAGTGGAACAGCCAGGACTCAAACCAGAGCCCATATGGTATGCCAGCATGACAGACGATGGCTTAACTTGCTGTGCCACAATGCCGGCCCCATTCTTACATAATCTTAACTTTCCTGGTCTGCAAAGCAGGGGTTATATCTAAATTATCTACCTCACCAGGGTGCTGTGAGGAAGAAATGAGTTAATGTATATTAAGAACTGCAGTCTGCAGAGTACCTGTTATCCCTACTTCCATATCTGCATGACCCAGGAATGGGATGGGTTGAGCTTACAAAATGAGCAGGCAGAAAGCTCCAGGGGAAGATGCGTGGTTCCAGAGTTGGACGTCAGTTGGAATCTTGGCCATACCAGCTGGGTGACCTTGGGCCATGTGCAGGGCAACTCTGATAATCGGTTTTCCCACAAGTAAAATAGGCTCATTTTTACTCCCCAGGATTGGTATGAAGATTGGAGACCATGTGTCTGACATGCCTGCTCCTGTGTGTGGTCCATGGGAGGAGCACCATAACCAAGAGTGATTGTGGTGAGCACATGGTTACATGGAGACTTATGTGGACAGGATCGTACAAGACAGGCTTACTGATGCAGACTAGGAGGTGCCAAGTGGGCAGCAGCTTTAGAAGTGAGGGTGAGTTTGTGCTTTTCCTTCACCCCTGTGCTCATTTGCACCTGAGGCATACTCTGCATCTCTGGATGGAGGTATGCTGTGGACATACAGAGGAAGGGCAGCTAGTGGGCTGCCTAGGGCACTAGGCTCATTGAGGCTGATTTGATGCAAACTTTGGGTCTGTTCATCTAAGCTAACGGGCTGTAGCCCAGCTGATGACTATTGATTCAGACAAGCCAAAGGGAAATAGAGACCAAAACACGGATTCATGTAACTAGCTCATCATTGCCTGCTACTGAGGGGGAAAGACTTATTTTGTCTGAATTTAAAAGGACAATTGTCCACAGTGATCGAATTCTTCAAAAAAACTTATCTCCCTCTTCTGTTTTGTTTCAGAACACATGGAGCCACATTTAAGAGACAGAAAGAGAAAAAATTACTGTCCAGCTGCAATTTTTCATTTGGCAGGCGGCCAGCCATTTTCTCAGAATTTGACAGAATATGATCTCTCATTTAACTGGCTTTCTAATGCTACCCCTGGGCAAGACTGAAATGAATCAGACCCTGGTGCAATCATTATCTTGGCTGAAGATCCACACCTACCGTTCTTCCTACAGACTGTTCCGTGTGGCCACAGTGGACTCCGAGAAAAACAACCAGAAGACAATGCACTTGCCAAGCTGAAATAGGGCTCATTGCTGTTTCCAACAGGACTGCCTCTCTTCTGCCTTTGAACAATTCTCTACAGTCATTAGTCATTCATCCATTCAGTAAATAATTAAGCACCTGGCATGGCGCATAATGCAAATAGTATAGTCTATGGTCTGTTCCCTCAGGGAACTTACAATTTAGTAGAAAAGATCTCATGTAGTAGTGCATAAGTGGATGACAAATAGTAAGAGGAGGGTTTGAGAGAGGGGGAAGGGAGCGTTGCCATGAGTGTGTCCTTTCATGGAGCAGGTAGAATGGTTTGGATGGGGAATTGAAAGAGTAGGGTAAGCAGAGATGGAGATGACAGGGGGTGTGGGTGTGTATTCTAAACCTGAGTGATGGGAAGAATAAGAATGATGTGTTCTATAATTGCTTTTAAAATTGAATCGAGATAAGTATCATTTGGAGTAACACAGTAACCATCCAACAGCTTGAGTCCTTTGGAGATGCTGCCTAGGAGATGGAGTAGGAAGCTTGTGCAATATCCAGGCCAGAAAGAGGGTGTTTTAGGTGAAGTTGGTAGCAATGGAGATAATGAGAAAGGGCAGGATTCTAGACATATTTAGATTTTCCAGTCTCATGTTAGTTTCAATATATGATGCCTTCTTAGAAGATCCCTGATCTGTAGTTTTGGAAAAAAAAATACCACTTAGGGCTGCTCTCTGTGTCCTCAGATACCTCTGCCATGGAACACTGCCCTTTGAGTCATGGCTGTGCACCATTTGCTGCTGTCTTCAAGTTGGGTCACAGAGCCACAGAATGAGAGGCCTGGTGCTTAGGGAGTCTCTGGTCTAAACCTACATTTTGTGGGTCAGAAAACTGAGGCTTATAGAGAGGTGAACTGGTTTGTCTAAGATCTGACGGGTGATTTGTAGTAGAGTAGCACTAGAGGCAGGTGTCCTAATGCAGAGTCCAGCGGTCTTCCTACATCACCGACCCCTTCCTCATAAAGAAGCCAAGACGTGCTTCTCCCTGTGGCAAAGATCAGCTAGCGAACTCATTGACTCTGGGTCCAGTTAGTCTACATTTCCCAGTTTTGGCTGAGTTCTATACCATGGGATGTAGGTGGAAGTGTGAACACCAACTGTCGAGCCTGGCCCATAGACATTTCTCTACTCAAGCTCAGCCTCTTTTCCATTTGCTAACTAGACACTGATGTCCAACGCAACCTTGGAAGTAAGATATTGAAGATGGCAGAGCATCCACTACCGAGCATAGTGAATCTTGAATGGGAGCACTTGGAGGAGCACTGAACCCAAATCTGCTGGAAATGACACCAAAGGTAGAACCCAAGAAAGGAAGCAGAGCGTGAGGTAGGAATGTCTTGGCAGCTAGGACAAGTAAACAAAGGGGACCTCCAGGGAACTGGAAGAGATGCAGGATTACTGGAATGCAAGAAGCAGGGTGGTGCAGACACCAGATTAGGAAGCCAGATGGTGGTGCATATATTGAGAAATTTGGATCAACCCGAGGGACCTTAGGAACACTTGGAAGGATTTTGAGGAGGGGAGTAATGTAATCAGAATTTTAGAAAAAAATCATCACTGTGCCTGCCTGGAAGAACTGATTGGAGTGGATAGGAGTGGAGGATAGGAGACAGATTTAGCAGCTGTCTAAATGTGTGCTTTTGCCTAGAATGCTCAGTCACCAGGTGGAAGATGTTTGGATTTGTCTAGGGTCATAGACAATGTAAAGGGTACATCAGAAGGCTAAAGGACATGAGACCTATCAACCCTTACTGTTCTGTCTTCTGGAACTCCAGTTCTCTCAGCACAAATTCCCCTATATCAGGGGTTTGCAAACTCTAGCCCATGGGGCAATGGATGCTGTCTGATGCCTGTTTTTCCATGGCTCACAAGAAAAAATTAGAAGAGAATGATTTTTCACCTTATGATAATTATACAAAATTCAAGATTTGTGTCTATAAATAAGGTTTCATTGAAACATAGCCACATTCACTTGTTTTTATGTGGTTTATGGACCTTAAATTCCTCATGCTTCAGTGACAGAGTTGAGTGATTGTGACTGTGAATGTTTTAAGTTCTTATACCTAAGATCCAGTCTGATTTAACAGGACTGGGGGGTGTAGCTTGAGCTGGATTTTGTAATACTTCTCTAGTGATTCTACTCTGTATCCAAGTCTGAGAACCCCTGAATAGCAGAAGCCTAGCTGTCCCTGAGGGCATCTTTTCAATAGACACTGTTTGTTTCACATCCTACACTCCTCAGAGCAGGATGTAGATTAGCATCTGTCTGGCTTCTAGGCCATTAATTCCTTTCCCTGTTGCAAAAAATATTGTGTTTGAGGCTTAGCCATCTGGCTCTGTACTCTGTCCCTATAGTGGTTTTTGTGGGTGGATTTCTCCACCTCCATTATTCACTTATCTTACTACCTGGATCACTGTCTAATTCCTGATAAAATTCTTGATTTCATCATCCACATTGCTGAACCATTCAATGCTTGAGAACTTAAGTAGTTAAACCTACTCATCTTTAATGATTATTTTCTTTCTTCCTTCTCAACTGCAAAATTTCATGGTCTTGCCTTGGAGTCTGCCATCCCCAGGAGCTGCCATCATGTATGAAATCTCAACTTGAAACTTGTGACTCTCCAACCTTATTAATTCCATCCTTGCAGCTAATTTGCTGAACGTGCCAATGAAATCATCAATACACTGATCCTTCCTGCCTCCCCTTCCCCTTTGATTGCTTATTCTCAGTCAACCTCTGGTTTCTCAGCCTATTTTTACCTGCCAGGATTCCATGCTTATCTGTATAGTCATTGCTCTACAACTTAGAGATGATAATGACAGGACAATGACCTTATAGAGTAGTTATGAGAATGAAAAGTGTTAATTTGTTTAGAGTATATGTGACAGTACTTGACCTACATAAAGAAACTCAGTTGTTACCTGAATGTTGGTGGAGAAAAGCATACTTGCAAGCTGACTAGTTTTACTTGAACTTGTGATCATGAACCTTAAGTGAGCATTCCATTCTGCCAGTGATCCTACTGTGGTTCATTGATAGATTAGCTTTCCTAATCTCGAGAGGACTCTTCCACACCACCTATTTTCTCAAAACTCTCACTCATTCCTCCTCATTTCTAGGCAATGACATTAAAGCAGGAGGTTTTAGAAAGTTCACAGAAAATAGAATTAAAAGGTAAGTTTATTCTGGTGCAAAAAATATTTGTAGTCCAGGTGTAGTGTTCTCATAATTCACACTTCCCATAAACTTTTTGAAGAGCCTTCATATATCTAGAATAAAATCTAAAATATGGTTCTTGTGATGTGTCTATATTCCCATAACTTTCTAAACATTCTTTTAAAATATTTATTTTATTTATTTGAAAGGCAGAGTGAGAGAGAGAGAGAGAGAGAGAGGGAGGGAGGGAGAGTGGAGAAAAAGAGAGAGCAGTATCTTCCATTCACTGTTTCATTCCTCAAGTGGCCCCAGTGTTTGGGGCTGGGCCAGGCTGAAGCCAGTAGCCTGAAACTCCAACCAGGTCTCCCACATAGGTGGCAGGGCCCAAGGACTTGGACCATCTTTTGCTACATTCCCAGGCCTATTAGCAGGATACTATGTTAGAAGTAGAGCCCTGGGACCCAAACTGGTGCTCATTTGGATGTCTGCATTACAGGTGGCTACTTAACACACTGCACCACAGTGCTGGCTCCTTTTGTAACTTACTGTATGCAGCTTTCTTCCTCAGTCTCTGAACTTGGGCCACATAAGTCTACTTTCACTTCCCAGGCTTTCTGTCACTAAGGGCTTTTGCATGTGTACTTTCCTCTGCCTGGAACACTTTTCCCCCACTCATTTCATGGCATTTATTCAGTATTTTGGGGGTGAGTCAACTTCAAATAGCATTGTCTTAGATTACTCTTTCTCTTTACTCTATCAGTTTGCTATTGTTGCCATAACAAATCGCCACAAAATTAAGTTTTAAAGGATACAGACTAATGATTTTAGAGTTCTGGAGCTCAGAAGTTTGAAATCAAGGTGTTGGAAGGGAAGAATTCTTTCTGGAGGCTCTAAGGAAGGATGTGTTTCCCTTCCTTTTCCAGCTCTGGAGGCTGCCTAAGTTCCTTGACTCGTGGTTGCTTCCCCTTATCTGCAGAGCTGATAACAGTAGGTCACGTCCATCTCATGCTGCCATCTTTTTGACTCTCCTTTTCAATTTTCTCTTCTACTTTAAAGACCCTTGTGATTACACTAGGGCCACCCAGATGACCCAGAAGAATCTCCCTCTTTTTTGGTTACCTGTTAGGAGCATTAATGCTATCTCAACTTTAATTCCCCTTTGCTCTGTAACCCATATATTCACAGGTTCTAGGGACTGAGATATAGACAGACATTTTGGGGTACACTGCTCTGCATACTACACTGTCTAAAATGTGTCTCCTGGATATGCTTTTGCTTAGCTCTTATTTGCTTTCATGGCCCTAATCACAGATCTGAATTTATTTATTTATTTTTTCGCTTTTCTTTTTCTGTCCCTGATCAGAATGATGGAAATCTATGATAAGGGCAGAAATCTGTCTTTTTTGTCTTTGTGTCCTTAACAAATAGAAGAAACGCAAACAAATGTTGGTTGAGATAGCTGATGAATGAATAGAGGAAGAGTTATTGAAAGGCTGGGTTATGGAATTTCACTTGGAAGTGGATGAAGAGGAAACCTTGAGGAGGTGATGTGGACCCAGTCATCAGAGGAGCAGGAAAGGAAAGCAGCTGGGAAGAAGCGAAACTGCGGACTGACAGTAGAAGGTTGGAATGTGTAACATCACTGGTGGAACTCACTAAGGGCAATTAAAAGTTTTATCTATTTATCTGTACTTATTTGAAAGCGGGGAGGAGAGAGAGTTACAGAGGTTGTTGGTTTGAGCCTTAAAGGATATTTCCTCCCAACACTCCCTTCTAGTACCTTAATGGATGCCAAAATTAGTACAAACAAGTAGGTTGCAAACAAAGGACATATGAACCACTTGGCATTGTTTATTGGGCCAAGATGGGGTAAAAGGAAGTGAGACTTCCTCCATCTCTTTACTTTGGGTGGTAAATATAGTTCATGCTATTAAGTGATTAAAGAGCTGCCTGAGTTACCGGCACTGTTCTCTTGGGACTGCATCCCTTTGAGGATGTCGGGCTGATGGAATGGGTGAGACAGCTGCACTACAGACCCAAGCGAGGAAGATGATAAATGTCCAGTCTGGGGGCAGTGTGGTTTCTTCTGACAACTCTTCTGAGAAGCTCATATTTCACAATTCTCACCACAAAGCATGGAATGAAAATTGAAGCTTTTATGTGACCATGATGAAAGAATCTTTTACTGTTTGTTAACTCTACACGGTTGGGCATGCTGAAAATGAAATAGAGATAGATTTGACAGTTGCTTGCTTACAGTATCACTAATGCACACCTTGGGAGCTGGAGTTACAGCTTTGCCAGGGTTCTGGCTGGTCAGAATACTGGGGAGGAGAGGAATCTAGACAGCTGAGACTGGGACATCTGTGGGAATCCTGGTCACCTGGAGAATCTGTCTCCACACTGCTCTAGGATATACTCTACTACCATTTCCTTATGTGAGAAAATGGGCAAGTCTCACTCCTCTCTAGTAAAATCATGGGATTAAATTCTAGCAAGAGACATGTAAGTGAATGGTATAGTTTCCAGTAATGCATTTTCCAGTTTATTTCACTTTGCTCATTCTTTCTTGGTGTAAGTTTTTCTTTTATTTATTTTGAAAGTCAGAGTTATTGGGGGGGGGCGGAGACACACACACACACACACACACACACAGATCTTCTATTGATTGGTTCTTTCCCCAGATGGTCTCAACAGATAGCACTGGGCCAGGCCAAAGCCAGGAGCCAGGAGTTTCATCCAGGTCTCCCATGAAGTTGGCAAAAGGCCCAGACACTTGGGCCATCTTCTGTTGGATCATCAGGAGCTATGGGACATGATGAAGCACTAAGGTAATAGAATCTGGGTTGGTAATGCCATGGACTGTCCTGCCAGCCCTGGCTACCTTCCTGGGCACTTACATGAGAGAAACACACTCCTGGCTTGCTTAATCCACTGTTATTTGAGATGTTTGTGATTCTCAGCTGCCTATTCTTATTCTTCATGTTTGTTGACCCAGTGAGGGGAAGAAGAATCTAGAGTTTTTCTAGTAACCTGCCTTATGAATTCTGATTCCTGTTTCTATGACACTGGCTTCTAATGGTTTAGAGGTTTGGATACCTAGAAGTGATATTCTTTCATCAGGAACAGGAATGGGTCCACTGATTAGGAAGCTGGCCACGTGAGGTTCCTTGTACCAATTGTAGACAGGAAAAGGTGGTTTTTGCAGTTACCTATGGTGATGTACATTGATTATCAAAGAGAAGAGAAGTGGCTGCTACATGAAAAAAAAAATGGGCACAATCAGAGGAGAGCTGTACTGTCCCATTCAGGTGATCAGTGTGTCATTGCTGATCTTCCTATGGGAAAGCCTGTCAAGGGCTCAGACCTCTTGGAAGAGTCTCTGCTCCTGTCGTGACAGGGCCTCAACTGGTTTTGTCAGAGGTTCTGGTCAAAGGTCAGAGGAACATGGAATGAATCTTAGAGGTGATGATGAATTGTAAGCACCAGCTATAGTTTTATCGCCAGCTAGAGAAACGAGCTATAACCTCTACTTCATCTTCTTGCTAGCTACACACTATGAACAAGTTTTCCTTTTATTTGTTCTTTTCTTGTCAGGTTACTTGAGACGGTTCATCATTTAAACATATTTATTTATTTATTTTTCAGGCAGAGAGACACACAGACCAAGATACAGACTGAGAGACAGAGATCCCATCCTCTGGTTTATTCTCCAAATGTGTTTAACAGTCAGGGCTGGGGTGGGGCTGAAGCTGGGAGCTAGGAACACAATCCAGGTCCCAACATGGGTTGCAGGAACCCAACTACTTGAGCCATCACCACTGCCTCTCAAATTCTGCATTAGCAGGAATCTGCAGAGTCAGAGCTGGGAATTTAACCCAGGCAGTCTGATAAGAGACATGGGTGCATTAACCATGAGACTAAACATCTTGTCCTATGTTTATCACTCAATCCATGTTTATGAACCCTGGAGTTATGATCATGATGGAATTTTTAAGGTGTTTATTTTTACCTGCCTATTATATTTTCCCAACCCCATTTCTAGCCCTTCTTCTGGTAAAAGAGGCTGTACCCCTTACTCCATTCCAGTCTGGGCTTTCAAATAGCCTCACATGCCCTGGCTTCAGGGATAAGTTGGCTCAATTGCATTCTTCCTCCTGGAACTTCTAACCTTGAGCCAAGGGTGGGAGGCTAGAAGGCTGCCAGAGCTGAATCACCCCATGGCAATGCCCTTGAGCAAGGGTCTGTTTGTTTCTGCTATTGGGATATCTAGTACTTTAATGGTTCGTGTTTTTCATAGCCCTAATATTTCATTCTTGCCATTTTGTAAATGATCTAAGGCTCTACTTTTTTATTTATGTGTGTATTAACCAGTATGATTTTCTACTGCTTGCAACAGCAAAATAATAATACAGGATTCATAAAATACAAAGTGAATGTGTTTTAAACTCCATCCCTTGAAATTCAGATCCGCCCACTTTGTGACTGTCTAACTGGTAGAGGCAGTACTAAGCCCCACAGCTTTTGAGGCATTGTTCATTCCTCTCTTAACTAGTTTATGCTGTGCTCAAACTGCTCCCTCTAATGAAAACACGGGTGCTTTGCCTTTTTCCTCACAGCATGATGAGTGTAAACATGATGGTATAGGCTGGGAAAACGTGAGAAGTCTGTCCACATTGGTCTTGGAGGCAACAGGGCAAAACATGGACAACAAACAAACAACCATTCCTGCAAGTATTGACTAAGACAGAACAAACTGTTCCCCAAATGTATGAGGTAAAACAAGGCAAATTCTGAGAATTAAGTTGACAGGCATATACAGAAGTGTAATTTTTTTCTTAATTAAACTGACAAAGATCTCCAGTTCCACATAAATCAACGGAAAGCTACAGACCTACAGTGCTAAAAGGAAAGACGTTATGAGTTGCTGAAAGGAGAATGCAAGAGAAAAAATGTAATGAAGTAACCCACGCTTTGCTGACTTGATTTCCTTGGGGTAGGTGGTGGTTGGGCTGAGTAGGGGATGGGTGAAGACAAACAGTGGATTCTACAAGTTAATTTCCAGGGTCATCCTTGGCAGGAGGTAGGAGAGGCAGATACAATGGTTCCCTTCTTCCGTATTTTTTCCCTCCCTCTCTTCTTCCCTCCCTCCTTCCCTCCCTCCCTCCCTCCCTCCCTCCCTTCCTTCCTTCCTTCCTTCCTTCCTTCCTTCCTTCCTTCCTTCCTTCTCTCAAGATTTATTTATTTATTTTGAAAGTCAGAGTTGCAGAGAGAGAGAGGGACAGAGAGCAATCTTCCATCCTCTATTTCACTCCCTAGATGGTTGCAGTAGTCCATGCTGGGCCACACTGAAGCCAGAGGGCAAGCATTTCTTTTGGGTCTCCCACATGGGTGTCAGGGACCCAGACGTTTGGGCCATCTTCTGCTGCTTTTGCTAGGTCATTAGGAGGGAGCTTGAATGGAAGTAGAGCAGCCAGGACTCGAACCGGCACTTATATGGGATGCTGGTGTCACAGGTGGCAGCTTTACCTGTTATGCTACAACACTGCTTCTGTCTTTTTTAAAACTATATATAATATGCATATATATATATTTATTTGGGAGGGAGGGATAGTGAGAGGAAAGAAGGGAGAGTGAGGGAGGGAGAGATAGAGATTCCACTTTGGTTAGCTGGTTCACTCTCCAAATGCCCACAACATCTGGGGCTGGGCCAAGGCTGGGAGCCGGGAGCCAGGAGCCAGGAATGCAATCCACGTCTCCCATGTGAGTGATAGGAACTCAATTACTGAGTATTACCTCTGTCTTCCCCTGGTATCTTCTTCCATCTCTCAAATGAAAGGAATATGAAATTAAAATAGAGATTTAGGACAATGGAGAGCTGACCCCACTGTGCGAGGAGAGGCTGGGCTGTGAAGGGACTTGGATGACGTTTCCACCTGTGTCCTCCCATTCCTCCTCTGGAGGGGGATCCCAAGAGTGCTTAAACTCCTCCTCTTTGCATACTGTCACCCACTTTCCCCTATGGCTTGATTCTTAGGGGATACTCCTAATGAATTCTCTTCTTGGCTCTGTTGATGCATTGCACAAATACAACCATTCTCCTTCTAGTTCATTGCACTACATAAAAGAAAAGGTTTAATTTTTTTTTTTTTTTTGGACAGGCCTCCTTCACTTACGTAAGTCCTTGCCAGTCAGTAATGACCCTGTTTCTCAATGAGTTAATGAAGGCATCAGAATCCTTCTGAACACAACTTCTACAGTAGCCCTGCTAGTCATTCACAGCTGGCCCATGGAGCAAAATCTGTTGGCCCTCTTTGAATTAGTTAGGAGGATAAGCTTAGGAGGCAGATGGATGAGAGTTTACAGACTCCTTGCCTGCTGTGTGTCGTGAGCGCCACTTGTCATGCAGCTCAACAAGGCTAGTGCGATGTGTTGGAGCACGGGCAAGAATCACACAGAATTGTGATAGTCTTTTTAATATAATTTATTATTTAATAATCAATACCACTCAATATATATATATTCAATGCACACACCTAAAGGTCAATTCCACTCAATATGTCATTAGTCCACGGTCATAACACACATCTAGGAGTAAGGCAATTTTCAGAAATATCCTGCAATGGTAATACGTATAACACATACAGAGCATAAAAGCATAACCAATCTAAACACTCATGACTAAGGATGTAATAAGAATGCTGTGTTCTCAAGACTTGTATCACAGTCATGAAAAGTCAAAGTCCAAAGTCTAGAGTCCAAAGTCTCCGTTACCACTCGGAGAGACGGATCTCAGAACAGTCACTTACAGGCAGGAGTGGTGGGATGCCTGGCACTTTAGGCAGTAGGCTTGAAGTTCCAAGATGGATGGCAGGGTGAAGGGTTGGAGAGGTCACCTGATGAGAGGTCTGGTCCAGCTCTGATGTCAGGTCCGGCAGCAGCTGGGACGTCCAGGCGAGGTCAGTCCGTGGAGACTCGGGCAGAGCTGCACTTGCACTGAGCCATGGTTCCTGAGGGGATGAAGAGCAGTTGTGAGGCTTGCCCTTTTATTCTCTCTGGGGTAGGTGGGCGGTCAAGGTGCCCTGGGGTGTCACCAATCACAAACTCATTTTTTCAGGTATCACCAACCAGATGTTGGTGTCTGGGTGTGACCAGTGGTGTCTGAGGGGTCTTCTGGGTGTTGCTAACTGTGGTGTAGTAGTAGCCAGCTGTTTTGCTTCTTCTTATGATGTAATGTCCCCCAGTCCTTATCAGGCCTCACCACCCGTGAGATAGATGCTCTAGGCAGTTTCTGGTGCTTAGTGGCCTTAGCTTAAGTAACCCCATTTTGGTTCTGCTTAGCTTAAGCAACTCCATTTTGGTTCTGCTTAGCTTAAGTAACTCCATTTTGGTTTTGCTTTTTCTCTTTGTTTTTGGATTAGCAGTGCTCTGTAACTCTTTTGGGACTCCTGTGGGATTCCCTACACTGTGTAACCTTGAACATGTATTAAATTGCTTTGTGCCAAACTGGTAAAAATGGGGCATAGTTTTTGCTAAACTGTTCGTGAGATCAGGTAGGCAGGACACACAACTGTGGATGCAAGTTATTGTCATGAAGTTAGTTTGAACTCAAAAGATCCCTGGAAATAGGAGGTGAGGCATACCACGCAGGGGCAAATGGGGATGAACCATCAGGGTGGGTCAGGAAGCAGAAGGAGGGAGAGAGGAAGGTGCGGGCTGGAGCCCTCCTTGTGGTTTCCCTGGGATGCAGTGAGTGAGTTTGGGGAGCAGGCTGGCCAGGTTTGGCACTTGCTGTTTTGAATAATTATCATGTGCTCCAAGGTGTGGGGGGGTGCCCCTGGTTATCTGATACCTGGCTTTGGTGTGACTAGGGCAGAGCAATGCCACCTCCTGAATATATAAGATAGACAGGGAGCTAGTTCAGCGTGGGCTCCGCATGGGTGGGTTTGCACATCAGAGGCTATGTACAGTGAGTCATTTACTATCTGTGGAATAAGCCAGCCCTGGGAAGGGTAGCCTCTTGGGATTAGCAAGGTCCTCAAATGTCAAAGTGTCATAAAATACAGAAAGTCGAAATGAAGTTGGATGAGTGCAGTTGTCTTACAGTGCAAGGGAACACAGTGCAGCTGGATCACATTTTGAGCTATTGGGTTGATGTTTCCTCCTACTTCTCTGTCCTCTATGCTGCCTCCCCCCGTTGAAGCACAAGGCGGTGGCCTGCAGAAGTTCTTCAGTTTTTGTTTCTCAAAGCCCAGACCTGTCTGAGAAGTCTCCCGGAGGAGGTGGAAGAGAGCACTGTGGAAGAGGCAGAGTAGCCTTCCTCAGACCGAAGGGAGAGGGCCCAGGTTTCTTGAGAAGTTCTGCTTGTCTCTGGGCAGCTCTTGTCCCCATGCAGCTCTGGACGGTCCTTGCATTGTCACTGCAACCCAGGCCTTGCTCAGGGTGCCTCTGCAGATGAGGGATCCAACGCCCTGGGTCTGCAAGGCCAAGCCAGGGGGGACAGTGGACGTGCGTGTGTGAACCCATGTGCATGATGACCCAGGCTGGTGGGCCCTAGGACCCTGGGGCTGTGCACCACCTCTAGGAGGAGCCAAACCCAGAAGAGGGCTGAGGTGAAAGGGTCCTCAGCCCGGTAGGGCAGGAACTCCAAGTGAAGATTATATGAATTTATAGGAAATGAAGGGGTGCACAGTTTCCTGCAGCCTTGAAGCTGGACTGAGAGTCATACGTGCTCCAACTGTACCTACAACAATGCTGGACACACTGTGAATGCCTTAAAGCACAGATATATTTTTCCTTGGGAAAGTTAAAGGTATCTTTTAAAAAGTTAAAAAAAAAAATCCCTTACCATGTGCATTACTGACCCAGTGGAACTCTTCAGACACAGTACTCCGTCTCTGCCATCACCCTGCCCAAGCCCATCCTCCACTCTCTCCTGCCACAGTCTGTGTTGCAGGAAGCTGCCTGGCCAGATGCCTTTTGCTGGCCAGTTTCTCACCAGGGCTGACCACAGTGAGTCACCAGCAGGAGCTGGGAAGTGGGAGAGGACAAACTGAGGCGCTCTTTCTAGCTTCCTCCCTGCAAGGCTCCAAGGGCGTGGGCCTGGCTGCATGCTTGGGGGAGTACAGCTCCTGCCCGCTTATTTCCCCTTCCTTGAGTCTTAGAGGAGCCATGCCTCCCTCCTGCCCATTCCCCGGGGCCATCTCTTCATTAAATACTGTTCATTTGAAACATCTGTGTGTCTTTTTTTTTTTTTTTTTTTTTGGCTAGGACCTTGACTGATAGCATAAGCAAGATTATTTGGTTGTTTTTCTAGCTATGGGAATGGTTACAGTGATCTGGTCACTCTGTTCAACTTGGACCCCATTAAGACCCACAGATCATATCAGTTGGCATGATTTTGGAACCACGGGACAGTCAGTCAGTGGCCGGCCCTATGGGGCAGTGCTTGGTTGACAACAGGAAGTTATTTAGTCAGGGCTTTAAAAGGTGTTGGGGTCAATCTGACCTGGGTTCAGGTTCCTTTGCTATGTTGATTTATTTGCCCTTGCATAATTAAAACAACCTTTGCAAGCATTCACTTCTTTATCTGTAACAATTGCTTGCTGTTAGTACTCACCTCCTAGGGGTGATGAGACAGTGGTGACAGTGTGCCCCACATGCCCCTTAGCTCTGTGCAGGTGCACCTGGTGCTCAGAGAGGTTGTTGCTCTTTAGCATTAGCAACTGGCTTCTGTAGAGTCAAGCTCTTGGCTTAGCTGCCTTAGCCTCTAGTTGTCAACTAAACGGGTGCAGGTTTTCTCCTCGTGGGGAGGACTGCTGCCCGATGGAACCAGCACTTCAAAGTCCTTGCTGCATCCGTCCAGGACAAACTTCCAGAAACAGGGAATGTGTTGGGTCCTTAACAGTCATTTTTTGGGTTTGTCTTTTGAGGCAAAGGCAGGTCCTTCAGGCCTAATGGCTTCCTGGACTCCCTGCTGCCTCCAAAGCCCCTTTTCAGATGGCACAGTGAGAGCCCTGGCCAAGAAGATGCACGGTTGAGGACAGGACACACTCAGCCTCTCATTCCCACTGCTATGCAAAGGCCCCGCAGTGCAGCCCCTCCCGAGGACCAGAGACCTGGGGCACAAGGTGCGTGGGGGGTTGGGGGAGTCTCTGAGGTGGTAAATGGCTTCTCCAGGAATTTCTCAAGAAGTGGAGCTCCTTGAAGAAGGCTGACTTCAGGCTTACCTAGGCTAACCAAGGAGCGCTGGCGAAGTCTGGTCCCTGCAGGGAAAGCAGTCTCAGTAGTGCCCAGGAGCCCTGGCCGCACCTGTGCATTAGCTGCGGGCGCTATGGGAAAATCTACCCCGACTCCTAGAGAACGGTGATTACCTTCTAGTATTGGACACTGCTCCCTGCCTCCCGTGAAGCCCTTTACCCAGGAATTCCTGTTTACATTTCAAGTCTGTTTGTCCGCCTCTCCAGGGGCTGGAAACCTTGCTTTGAGGCTTCATTAGCTCCAGCCACAGCCGCCGGTTAGGCCGGTACAACAGGGAACAACTCCTGCCTCTGCCGGTTCTCACCTGCAGCTGTCATGCTGCTGTCCGGCTTCAGGACAAGTCAGTGATCGAGGGAGGAGGCCCTTTGTGACCTGCTGGCCACTCATTCCTCCTTCATTGTCCCTGCTGTGTGCCCATTTTGCAACACAGAGGCTGAGCTGGTGCTTCTCTCTTTGGCACACCTGCCTCTGGGCTGCTTCTTTGATTGTGAATTGGTTTCTGCTTTAGTAGGTGGAGTTCGGCCTCCCTCCTCTCCCCTCCTGCTCCTTCCCTTCTTCCCAACTCCCTGCATGGATTTATCAGCCTCCAGCACAGCCCCCGGTGCTGAACAGGGAGCGAATGGAGGGTGTGCCTGTCCTTGCTGTGGGACACTCCAGGCCAGCGCTGCAGTGAGTCACTGCCCTCTTGTGCAGGGTTCTCCAACCCTGGCACACTGGTTCTCAGGGTTTGTTCTCTCTCAGCTCTGGCTTTATCCTCTGCCATCCACTGTGGCTGGCCTGTCCAACCCTACCAGGTGAGGGTCCTGCTCTCACAGATACCAGATGCTTATCCGGTGGGCCTCTGCAATGGCAGGTGGAATGCACTTTTATTTTTTTAAAAAAGGATTTATTTATTTACTTGAAAGGGAGAGCAGGGAAGGGGGTAAGGAGGGAGACAGTGAGCGAGGGAGAGAGTGAGCGAGCAAGCGAGCGAGTGCTTCTATCTCTTGGTTCACTCCCCAAATGACTAAGACAGCCAAGGCTAGACCAGGCTGAAGCCAGGAACTGGATCAGGTCTCCCATGTACTTGGGGCATCTTCCACTGCCTTCCCAGGTGTGTCAGCAGGGAGCTACATGGGAAATGAAGCATCCAGCACTCCAGTAGGGTGTGCAGCCATCTCAAGTGGTGGCTTGCCGCCCTGTGCCATACACAATGCCAGCCCCAGTGCTTTCAGTTTTCTTTTTAAAAAATATTTATTTCATTTATTTGAAAGGTGGAGTTAGAGAGAGGGAGAGACAGAGAGAGGTCTTTCATCCTCTGGTTCACTCCCCAAATGGCCACAAGGGTCTTGGCTGGGCCAAACTGAAGCAGAAGTCAGGAACTTCTTATGGGGTCTCCCACATGTGTACAGGGGCTCAAGTACTTGAGCCAGCTTCCGCTGCTTTTCCCAAGCCATTAGCAGGGAGCTGGATAGGACGTAGAGCTGCTGGGACTGGAACTGGCACCCGTATGGAATGTTGGCACTGCAGGCCATGGCTTTACCTGCTATGCCACAACACCAACCCTAATGCTTTCATTTTCAAAGGGTAATTTGGGACAAAAGTAGGAAGTGAAACCAAGCCAGGCAATCAATATGGGCCTTTGAAAGAGGTGGTTGAGAAACCATCTTGGCTCTGGACAAAACTCTGCCTCTAATTAGCTTGTGTGACTTAGGGCAAATTTTTTACTATCCCTGGGTCTCAGTTTCCCATTCTGCATGCCTAAAGGAATGAACTACATGATTTCTAAAGTCTCTGCCAAAGACTTAGTCTCTGTACTGCATTGTTGCTGAGTCTCCCAGACAGGTGGTGCCTTGCTGGACTACTGGGGGCCCAGGAAAAATGTTTGCAGTGTCCTGGTGTGAAGCTGTTGCCAGCCTGGGATAGAGGCCGCACACGCCTGTATTTTCTGTGCCGTTTTCATCTCAAGCCCTTTTGTTTCTGGGCTGAACGCCCTTAAAGGGGATTAGTTCAGCAGAAGGGGCTTTTGAAAGAGAGCTGGACTTGGAGGAGAGTTGGGGCTTCGCTTACCTCTGTGGGATCTCACTTCCTTCCTGCACCTGTCTCTCTCCTACAACACAGGTGTGCCAGTGGAGACCAAACTCTGGGCCTCCTTTGTCATTTTTCTCCCTTGATACTCCAGCAAAGACCTGGTTACAACCCGAGGATACTTTTGAGTTGAGATAGCTTTTGGCGACAAATCTTTTATAAATAATGGCATTGGCGTTCTATCTTCCTTGAGTAATTTACTCCTCACGGTAATTTCGACGAGTTTTGTCCTACACAGAGGGTTATTTTGATGTTTCTTTCAGTTGTTATTGATGAGGGTGCTTGGAAAAAGATTAGAAGATTAGTTTAAAATTACTCCCAGGGAATTTAAAACAATAACAGGGCCATGAATACAGACTAAAACAAATCAAGGGCTGCCATAGATGTATTAAAAACCAATTGTTGGGCAGGGTCCCCCCAGGCCGGGCCACTGTCTGTGGCTTAGTCAGGGGCAGCATCACACCCCCATGTGTGCCTTCAGTGTTACCCTCCATGTTACCTGCCAGCCAGCTGGTGCTTGGGGACACATGTGGCCTGACCCGTGCGTCTCCAAGGCTGTGGCACCAGCAAGTGGCCATTCTTCTTGCTTGCAGCCCTGGCCCGCGACCTACTGTAGTTGATGGCTGTGGGCATGTGTTGGTTGGGCTTGTTTCCCTCTCAGCACTGTGTGTCATCCCCCTTGGGGTGCGTTCCCTTGAAGAGTGGCCCAGGGACAGGGATTTGGACGGTGTGGATGGGCAGGAGATGGTGAAGGCATTCGGTGTGTGGTTGTTGGCTGTGTCAAGTTGAGGCTCCGGTGGAGAGGTTTGGGTGCTGGCCAGAGAATGCTGGGGTCGCTGAGGTGGGCTCTGGTGTCCCAGGCATTACTGGACCATCCCAAGAGCTGGAAGGCTCCAGTGGGGTTCAAGTTGCTTATGTCTCCAGTGTCCTCTTAAATGATAGTCATCTACTCACTGGCATCTACTCCTGTGCCACCAGCATTCTCAGTTCTGTAACTCAGTAAGAATTCATGGGAAAGTCAATCTGTTGAAATCAGCTAGTCACTACTGCCTCTGATTAGGCAGAGTCCTATGCCAGGCCACGCCAAAGGCCATGAATGAGAATGTGAATGTGCTAGCTTTTGATTGCTGGTGTAGCCAGTGGCCCCGTCTGCAAAAAGCCAGTCTTAGCACCACTTCCCTGGAGCAGGGGCGAAGGACCAGGCAACTGTGTTTAGAAGAAAATCCAAGAGATGATCTTGCGGATGTTTATCTAGGATAGTTCATTTATTGAGTAACACACACACACACACACACACACACACACCACCCCTATTCTTTCCTCTCTACTCATTTCCAAAGATGCCACAGCTAATGTGATCTAACTATCAAGCCTATAGTTCCGCAAAGGCACTCTCACCCCGACGTGGGAAGACACACAAAGTTCTAGAAAATAGCACATGCAGGATCTCATTTGTCAGAGAGCCTCAGGTGATTGTCAAGTGCACAGCTCCCAGGGATTTGCTTAAAGCAAAGGCTGTCAGCCTGAGGAGAGTCTATACAGTATGGCCTCAGTGTGGAAATGTCTCTTATCTCTCAGACAGCAAGTGCATTGGTTGCTTAGCATCTGGCTCAATGTGTTTCTAGAAGGTTGTGGAAATGTGCAGCAAAATGGCATGATCATACGTACCTTTTCAGACAAGGCAAGAAATCACCGCCCAGAAAGAAAAAGGGAAGCCTAATATATTTTTGTTGGGAACACAAATTAGTACAGCCATTATGGAGAGCAATATGGAGGTTCTTCAAAAACCTCGACATGTATCTACCATTTCCCCCAACTATCTCACTTCTAGGTATTATCCAAAGGAGGTGAAATCAGCATATGG